CTCTCTCTCTCTCAAAAGTTACTAACGTACGTAGTCCACGCAGTTCGAAATCGCAGGGGGAAAGGATATTTCTGATATCGCGGCGTTTCCGCGAGTTCTCAATTTATGGACTTGATAAGTGCGGCTTCCCCAGCAGCTTATATATATATATATATATACAGCGCGCTCGGAGAAGCATGGCTCTCGTTTCATCGTTTTATCGTGAGAAGAAAGTTCTTCAGAGCGCACGATAAACTAAAAATGCCGTTTCGTCCTGCCTCGCGAGCTTATACTAATAAATTTCATTAGGAAAGTAACGAAGCGTCGCTTGCTGTTGGTTCGAAGTACATACTTCAGTCTTCACACGTCGAGAGAGTGCCATCCAAGCGATAAATGACCGATCGGTCAACTGGTTGATTGATGAAAAAAAAAAAAAGAAAAAAAGAAAAAGGAAGTAAAAAGCAATGGGATCGGGTGTTCGCGTAAAGGAACTGACCGGTCGGTTCGGCTTGGCCCAGTCGCCGAAAAAGAGCCGCCACGGCTTTTTTTTTATTCGGCTTGTTTCCCACCGGCTGAACTTTCTCCATGTACGTACATAGAGAGCAGCTACATAGCAGAGCGTAGGAGGTTGCCTCGGTCTCCCTGTGGTGAGTTGCACTTGTAAATGCACGTCTGCCACGGTATCCCGGCCCGTGTCTACCTACCTACAACCTATCCCTTGCCCATAACCCGGCTGAACGTATATATACAGCGCGGATGTATATGGCCGCCGGAAGGTAGGCGGCTGGCAGCTACAGCGGGAACACAGTTCTTGCATTAGCCAAAGAAAGATTCCTGGCGAATCGAGCGAGCAAGAGAAAAAGACAGACAGAGAGAGAGAGAGAGGGGTATCGGCCCTGGTTGCATAGACAAGGCCGTTCGTTGCTTCTTTCTTACCGGCGCGGCAGCCTGCCAGCCAGTGCTATCGTTGATTTTTCCCGCCTGTATTACCACCCTCCTCGGATACTTCACCTCTCTCAGGTGGCCCTCTGCAGGCGGCAGGATTGGAGGAGTGAGAATGAGGGCTTCGTTTCAAGGGACGATTATCAACGCCGTCTGAATACCGACTACCGACTGCGCCGCCAGCTTATGAAGTTTCCGTCCGTGATTAATGCGCCGGTTTCTTTCATCCCTCGAAAGAAACAGCTTTCCCAACGAGGGTAGGTGGGGGGACGTTTTATTGACTCTCTCGCGTTTCGCCGGTGAGTTGACCTTCGACGCGCGTTCAACGAAACTGAATTAGCAAAGTCTATGCGCGTTCGTTCTCTTCTTTTTTCTTTTTTTCTTTTTTTCCTTTTCTCCTTTAGAATTCTTTCTGCAAGAAGAGACGTCGTTGCGAACGAATATCCAGCGAATACGCGCGCGGGCATCTACAGGTCGTAAATAAAGGATAACACCGGGCAAGGAAATCAAGTCCAATTTCATCTGGCTGGATGAATACACATGTACACAGGTGTGTATCGTCGGCTCCCAAGATAGTAGCTGCTAGTTCGATACCCGCTAGTGCGATCCTTGCTTCTCTTTCCACGTTTATATTTGTCTTATTGACCGCGGTGTTCGTAGCAAGTCTCGTTTTCATGTCACGTCCCCGTATCTAATTCCGGTTTGACCACGTTCCAGTCCGGCCTGTTTAAATCTACTTTCTTATTATGTGGGAAAAATTATTCAGAAGTCTACGATATCGAAGTCATTCAAAATAGAGTAGGGTGAACCCAGTGTCAACGTTGAAAGAAAGGCTCGAAAATTTCGTTCAATTATGAAGACTACTTCCGTTTCTTTTCTATCTTCGTCTTAGAATTTTGTCCAAGCGAAATTGTACTATTGCACTTTCGTTCAAATGAAGAAAGTTAATTAAAATTCGATAACTCTGATCTGTTTGCAACAAGTAATTTTGCAAGGTGTCTTATAATCTCGTACAACTAAGGCTTAACTTCTCGAACAGAGCGAATACGCAAATCTCAAGATTGAATGCCGACTGTCTGTTTTGATTTTTCCGGGTCACATTTTCATACGAGTCTCTCTAGTCGCAGTTTTCGGGGGAATTTTGGGAAATAGAGGGGGAGCAGAGAGAAACGAAAATAGCGCGGCATTCGTAATTATATCGGTTACGAATATTTACAAATCACTGGAAAATCATGTAAATTCGTAATGGTGTTGGAAGAAAAGCCGATTTCCCGATGGTGGGGGGAGTTTCGCCGA